TGAATATAGATTGCAAATCATCAATTTCACTATAGTTCACCAATTTCACCATTATCACAATAGACATTTCCTCATTAACCCCCCAACTTAAAAAGTTTTACATTTAATTATTTTGTGGATTAAGTGGAGCTTGAAATTCAGGTATACTTTTCTTTAAATAATACTACTTCCTAATTTTCAGGAAGCAAACTTGAAAGTACAAACATATAACAGTTATTTTCTACCTCTCATTTCCCTCCAGGATCCTCCCAAGGGTTTGCTTGTCTAAGCATGCTTTCTGGGCTGAAGTGGTGCCAGGGTGATACGCTGGCCAAACAATGTACTCCAACGTGTGGATGTCAAGGCATGTATCTAAAAGCCATCTACCTTTCACAGGCCCCATTCATATTAAAATATATAGCTTACCTGAGGAATAGATAATGTTTCATTTGTAAGAAATTATGAAATTATTTGGATTTCTGGGCCATCAAAGTTGTCATTGTCAGGATAAAAACCATATAGATATAAAGATAATGAAAAAACTTGCTAATATTTTCTAGTATCCTGCTATATGACAGAGAGCACTAGGAATGTGACATGTAGTACCATATTTATTGAAAAGGTAGCAGTAGCTTTTGTGGATTTTTTTGTGTAAACTTCACTATGCACAAATTGTAATTCATGAAGATATCTATTGATTTATAATTTTACTGTACACAAAATTGACTCCTATAGGACGGGGGTTGATATGTGGTATGGACTTAGACAATGGCCCAGCCTCTGCATTCCTGTGGGATTTTCTTGATTTCTAAACGTCATGGAGTACACAGTAATTTCTCTATTATCACTTTTTGTGAAAATGGCCCTGAACAGAGAGTCAAATGTTCTTACTGCAGTTTATAAAATAAATTTCATACCAGAGTGCTGTTTAAAAACCTGAAAATTTGTAAGGATCTCGGGGTCTTCTTTACTATGGCTCAGATTGTCATTGAGGAAAATCTAAGTCCAAAATAAAAGAATATTCTATCTGAAGTTAAAGAATTAAAACACTCAGATAATATAAAGTTCCATAAATGCATAACTAAATGAACCTAAAGTCATTCGACTGAGGTTTAAAGCTTAAGGAAACTAGCACAAACTGCTTGGGGAGAAATTGGCTGACTCTTTTCTGCAGCTGCACGTGGACACCAAGGCTTATATTTGAAAGCCATTTGCACTTCATAGTTTCTGCTGCACAATATGCAGATTTTTTCATCAATCTCTTCCTAGAGATTAAATTAAAACATACATCGTATTTATGATAAAACGAATGAGATCTCCTTCTTTTTGACTGCAGATTATTTTTCTCCTCGTTTCAGGAGATAATCTAATAATTTAACATCACAATTATGCTTCCCCTTTGTCCTCCCTATCTCAGATGGACAGATTACCTCCTAAATCCATTTTCAAACTATGATTTAGTAACTACTGCACAGCTAAAATAAGATGAACTTTTCTCTTTACTCATTCAGCTGAATGTTTCTAGACCAAATGCTCATTTAGAATCATGATTAACAGTTGTGATTCAGAAAAAAGTCAGCCAGTTCTACACACTTTTTCAATAACCATTTTACTTTACTTTCAGATCTCAGCCCCAGAACATATTTGATGAACAGGTAAAGCAAACTTGGTTGTAATTATGCTGCATAACCATGTCTAAAACATGTTTCTTTGTTCTTGTCATGTAAGTTTGTGTTAATAGATACAGACATAATCAGTGAGTTCCTCCAAATTTCTGGGACAACCCACAGAAAACAGATGGATGGAATGGAATGGAAAAGGTTCAAGAGAGGACATTTTGTCTCCTCTGCCTAGAAGGCAATGCCATATTTGTGGTGAGGTTATGTTGGAAGGAATATTCTATGGAGAACTTTTTGTTAAATTTATTTAGGCCTATAAGGAAAATGATCAGAGAAAATAATACCAGGATTTTGATAACAGTGGTCTATTCTAGATAAACCACTAATTTACTACCTTTTAGATATAGCCAGAGGGTTTCATAATGTAAATATTCTCTGTAGCAAATATGAAGAAATTTGTTTTGTTTTAATCCATTATATCCTAGTGAGGTTTTTGACTATTTGACCTATAAACACTGTAAGAAAAAAATTTAAGTGCCTACTTCAGCCTGAACTTTTAAAGACTTATTTCTACATATGTATAATCATTATAGACTATTTAGAAATGCAAGAAATATTACAAAAAAGTAGAAACTATTCATAATGAATCTAAGCAGTTATATGATTGACCCCTATCATACGCACCACTTTAGTCACTGGTAGGTTGAACAAACAAGATTCATGTAATGTAGCCAAAGCAGTGTTACTCTGTTTTCCTAATGCCCCTTAAAAAATATCCAGAGAATCATTCTTCCTCAAACATTTCATAGAAACTTGGACTGTCCCACTATTCTTCTGATGAAAGGTCCTACAATTAATTTGAATCAATAATCTTAGTAATTAGAACACCTAGACTCATATCATGATAAAAATTCTACCCTTAATTTAAAATTTCATCTTCTTGCCTCTCAACCAACTCAGGTCTGCTGTTAGGGAAGGAGCATGATCTGTTTTATTTCCTTCCCCATGTACTAATTATACTCTTATCTTTCTGGTGTTGGAGAGGGCTCAGAGATGAGAGGTTCAGTGGGCAAAATTTTTTTTTGCCTGTCCTAAGGGAGCTTCACACTTTCCGGTGCGCACAGATGTTTCAAGCTGCCTTTGGATATTATGGACATTTTGTCAGTTAACAAAAGCAGTACTAACTGCAGTTTACTTGATCTGAATGAATGCAACTCTAATCTGGCTGGTCATTGCCTCACACATCACCACTTCAGGTGAAAATGCCAGTGCAGGAATGAATGCAGACCACACTCACGCTCCATCACATGTGCCCATGTCTGGCCCATGAGAAACACATGTATATTTTTTTTGCCTCTGGAGATGCAGGCCAATCTCAACACAGACAATCTTTTTGTGCTCATTTGTTAGATGCTTAGCAAACCTGTCTATCACTTGTAGGTTTCTCAGAAAAGAAAAAATCAAACAATCTACCATGACCCCAACACTGCAGAGGACATGCATTAGGCTCTTCATGTGGTTGGATGCCAGTCACATGGCATACAGTGGAACTTATCATATATCTCTCCAAAATTCTTCATAAAATCCTCCCTCACAATATCCAAACCTTTTATATCCCAGATATGGGTGAGGGGTAACAATAGTTTAACGTGGCTTCAAATATTTCCTTGATAGCTATCTTTGAAATGTTCACTCTTTTTCTACACACACACGTGCGCGCACGTGTGCATGCACATATAACACACCACATATATATACACATTACAAACTCAGGATCTGAGATGAGACTGTCTGGATTGAAATTCTGATTGTTCATTATCTCTGAACCAATCACGTATCTATCGTTTTTCTGCCTGTTAACTAGTTCATTATCTCTGAACCAATCACGTATCTATCGTTTTTCTGCCTGTTAACTCCTTTGTAAATTGAAGATAATATTTCTACCTTAACAATATAGTTATTGGGAAGATAAATGTGAAAATATATTTTAAAATACTTTGAAAAGTATCTATCTCATATCATTAGCAATATTACCTTTAAAGGAAATAATAATAAAATCATTAGTATTACAATTAATATAAATGTCCTTTTTATCACTTGTTTGGTTTATGAGGATTTTTACATGTCATTGAATATTCTCCTTTACACTGAAATATTGTATAGTGTTCAGCTGTATAAAGGCAGTATTATTTTCAATACTAAACTGGATGTATATATCATTTCTAATATTTGTCACATTATTGTCATCACCGCATTTATCATATCTGCCCCCCTCCCTTAGAATACATTAATGGAACAGGAATTGCTGAGTCAAAGTGTAATTAAGGCGTTTAATACATGTTGAAAAGTTATCCATCAAAATACTAATATATTTGCATACTATATTTTCAAAATTATCTTAAAATTCTGACCTGTTGTCTACTAGTAGCCACTAATTTAAGTGTCAGGGTATCATTGGAAGATTTTTTACAAAGGCACAGGATAGTCTTTTGTTTCCTAACAGAATGTGCCAACAGATTTCTGGAAATGTTTCTGACCTGAAAATTAGCAGACCTCATTTAAGATTGAATGAGGAGAAATCCAATGAATCTTCAGAACCAGAGAGTTCTAGTGACACTGATCATTTTTTTAATAAAAAAATTAAGTAAGAATGAGCAATAGTAACTATCTCTTGTGGTGTTTCATTATCAGAAGCTTAGATTGAGCTCCTTTAATTTATGTAAATGCATCTATCTAGTGGATGAGCATTAATAAACTTCAATTTAAATAAAATAAATCAAAATTCTGCTTCTCTTTAGTGTATTGTATTCTAATTAAATTCACAAGCACAGTTAGTAACTATGAAGTTATACAGTAGGCAAAATCAATCACCAAGGAGTGTAAACCAACTAAATGCAAGTAACATAAAGTAATGGTAAGTAGTCAGTTTTGATAGTAGATTAGAAGTTTCACATACGTCATGAGATAAGGACGTTTTTAGTCTCACTTTTAACATTCCAGATAGTTACTATTATAAAAAGCATGCTAATTTCATCAAGATCCCACAAATTTACTGATATGTGGTTTAAGATATCTCCTATCTAAAGAAATAAGAGCATTGATTTATTTTTCTTGAGATCTTAATTTAAAATATTTTACTTCAGAGAAGTCATCTTTCTGTGGTAGTCTACTTCTTTTTCCCCTCTCTGTGTGTCCTTCTTTTTCTGTCTCCCTCTGTCTTTGTCTCTCTCTCTCTCACATACACCCACACACACACACACACACACACACACACACACACACTCACACTTATACACACACACACACACACACGCATGCACTTCATAGTCACAAAAAGCATATAACTACTACAAAACTAAGCAAAATATTCACCCAACCACCAATAGCAACCACTGGACCAACCTTATAAAGCAGCGGCAATTTTCCTATCTTCAGGAGTGCGATCTGATTTCTTACATTTTTCATTTTTGTAACCCTTTTTAAATCATCTGCCATTCCGTAACTCACATCAATGACTTCAGCCTGGAAAAGGAGAAAAGACAAAGAAAAATAAAGCCTTAGAGGAAGAATTATAGTCAGTTGTCCATTTAGTATGACAAAATTATTCATTGTAATTTGAAATGTTCAAAAGAGAATGAATTCCATCTTTTACCCTGTCTTATTGAGCTTAAACATGACTTTTCCATTTCTATCAAGGTACAACCATTCTTCTGGTCACTTGGAACATGGAGGAATCATTTCTGCTTGGCTTCTTTTTAATCAAATTACAAATCCAATTCATTCTTCTAACAGACCATCACATTTAGAATATTCTGCATTCATATATCTGGGACTTGAGCTATGTTACAAAACACTGAATAATTAATCACATTATTCTCAGGATTGAAAAAAAAATTCAAGGATTCTCCATTCTTATCCAAGTTAACTGCAAAGTTCTCTACTTGCATGGTCACCATGCACAGTTGCTCAAATTGTGCACATAGCCAGTTGTGAATATACAACCCCTTGGGTTGTGCAGAATACAACCTGTAAAACCACACATGCCAGTCTGGCAATCCAGGACATTAGAAGATAGTCCCAAATTACCACTCCTGTCACATTTCTACATCCTTTTACTGTTACCTTATACTTTACCTCAGCATTAATCATGTCTAAAAGTCACCTTTTGTTAATGTAAAAATGCCATGACTTTCTGGAAATTCCGGTAGGAATTCTCTGACGCCATTACCCCTTTCCTTCTCCTTGAAAAGTACTGAAATGCAGGTTTCTACATTCCCATGAGCAAAGATAATTCCCTTCAGCCTTCCTTTCTATAATTTCTATTATTAAAATAATAGTTGTGATACATTTCACTGATTAGGACACAAAATATGCTATTTCAAATTATAGCATATAGCCACATGGATGTTTGTAAAAGGAGTCAGTGGTGGCAAATAGTTACAAAATGAAGTTGGAGATTCCAGGTCACCAACATTCCACCCTTCTCAACTGGAACAAAAGTACTTCAACTGGTTTTATACATTGGACTTCCACAGAGGAGTCACTTTAAAAAAGAACTTGTCTATAAGAACATGGGAATATCACCAAGAGATTGGTAAATCTGCTAGATAAAATAATTCTGGCATGAAATTTGTATTTAGTCACCACACTCATCTGCATCTGTAAAAACGCTGCTAGTACATACATTAAGGCCCCTTTCAAATGTTACCTACCTGATGAATTATATTGTTCTATTGTGAAAATATATACATGACCTCTCTCTATTTTGAATCTCAGAGTAATCTGTTTCTTCTTCTTTTAAGGCCTTCACTGGACAAATCTCGTTATGTATTTATATTTATATTTATTTATCTACCAGTTTCAGTTTCCAGTATAGGAAATTCTATGGTGAAGGGGCCATTCTCACTCAGGCATCCAGCATTGGCTCATCAGTTTTGAACCGAAATGATTACAGCTTATATAATATTTCTGAAAATTTAAGCTGTAATTTTAGGTAGATTTTTTCAGGAAACCTAATTGTTAAAAACATTTCTGTCAAAACAGTTTTTTATTACAATTTTCTTCCTATTAAAATGTAATTTAATCAGTGCCTTTAATACAATTTTTGAATTTTCTGATACTATTACCATATAAAGAACAGTTGGCCTCTGATTTTAAAGGCCTGATTAAAGAAATTATCATATAATATTGATAATTCCCTCGTAAAAGTAAGAGAATTCATATTTTCATTTCAAATTTCTAAGCTACCTACTAATGATTTGTGATTCAGTAACAGCATCTTAAAGCAGGGTATCACGCATTTGGTTATATTAGTGAACATATTTTTCATATTTAGCAGAGGATGAGGGAAAAAACCTTACTTATTTGAGAGGCCATAGGTCAGATTGTATATAGGCATACCTCGGAGATATTGCAGATTTGGTTCCAAACCGCTGCAATAAAGCTAATATCACAATAAAGTGGGTTACACACAGTTTTTGGTATTCCAGTATATATAAGAGTTAAGTTCACAAGATATTGTAGTCTACTAAGTGTGCAATAGCATTCTGTCTAAAACAAAATGTGCATACTTTAAAAAAAAAACCTTATTGCCAAAAAATGCTGTCAATCAACTGGGCTTTCAGTGAGTTCTAAACTTTTTGCTGGTAAATGGTCTTGCTGCAATATAAATGGTTACTAACTGATCAGGGTTGTAGTTACTGAAGGATGGGGTGGCCATGCCAATTTTTAAAAACAAGGCAATAATGAAGTTTGCCACATTTATTGACTCTTCCCTTCATGAAAATTTTCTTTGTAGCAATCAGTGCTGCTGTATAGCATTTTACCCACAGTAGAACTTCAACACTGGAGTCAATCCTCTCAAACCCTGCTTTATCAACTAAGTTTACAGAATATTTTAAGTCTTTTATTGTCATTTCAACAATATTCATGGCAACTTCACCAGGAGTAAATTCCATCTCAAAAACCACTTTATTTTCTCATCCATAAGAAGCAACTCCTCATCTGTTCAAGTTTTATCTTGACATCGTATTAACAGCAATTATGTTATATCTTCTTGGATTCCACTGCTAATTCTAGCTCTCTTAACTATTTCCACCTCATCTGCAGTTACTTTCTCCACTGAAGTCTCTCAATAGGGTTGAGAACTCTCTCATTAGGGTTACTATTTTGACTTCTCCTAAATCACAAATGCTCTTAATGGCATCTAGAATGGCAAATCCTTTCCAGAAGGTTACTGATTTATTTTGCCCAGATACATCAGAGGAATCTCTATGGCAGCTATAACCTTGTTAAATAATAAGACTTGAAATTTGAAATTACTCCCTGATCTATGATCTGTAGAAAGAATGTTGTGGTGTAAGGCATGAAAACAACAGTAATCTTCTTGTGTATCTTCATCAGAACTTTTGCATATTTAAGTGCAATGTCAATGAGCAACAATATTATGAATCTTTTTTTCTGAGCAGTAGGTTTCAACAATGGGCTTAAAATACTTAGTGAACCATACTGTAAACAGATGTGCTGCCATTTTGGCTTTTTTTCCCATTTACAGTGCACAGGCAGAAAAGATTTAGCTTAATTCTTAAGGGTCCTAGGATTTTGGAATCTTAAATTAGCATTGACTTCACTTGAAGTTACCAGCTGAATTAGCCCCTGACGAGACAGCCAGTCTTACAACCTTGACTTCTCCTCTCTAGCTCTGAAAGTGCTAGATGGTCTCTTTTTCCAATATGAGGCTATTTTGTCTCTATTGGAAATTTGTGGTTTAATGTAGCCACCTTCATCAACGATCATGGCCAGATCTTCTGGATAACTTACTGCAGCTTATTTATGAGAACTTGCTGGTTCACCTTGCACTTTTATGTTATAGAGATGACTGTGTTCTTTAAACATAATGAACCAACCTCTGTTAGCTTCAAACTGTTCTTCTGATGCTTCCTTGCTTTTCTCAGCCTTTTTAGTATTGAAAGAATTAGGGTCTTGCTCTGGATTAGGCACTGACTTAAGGAAGTGTTGTGACTGGTTTGATCTTCTATCCAGACCACTCAGACTTTCTCCATATCAACAATAAGGTTGTGTTGTTTTCTTATTATTGATGTGTTCACGGGAGTAGTACTTTTCCTTTGCATTCACAACTTGGCTAACTGTTTGGCACAAGCTTTTAGCCTATATTCGTTTCCACATCCCTACCTCCCTAAGTTTACTCATTTATAGCTTTTGACTGAAGGTGAGAGATGAGTAACTCTTCCTTTCGCTTGAACACTTAGAGGCCATTCAGTGGCCTAATTTTAATACTATTGAGTCTCAGTAAGGACCCAACAAGGAGGCCCAGGAGAATAAGACCCAAGAGAATAAGGAGGCTGAGGAGAGGGAGAGAGACTGGAAAATGGCCAGTTCGTGGAAGAGTCAGAATACACACATTATGCAATAAGTCTGTTGTCTTATGTGAGTACATTTCGTAGTGTCCTCAAACATTACAATGGTATCATCAAGGATCACTGGTCACAGATCATCAAGACAGATATAATCAAACAGAAAAGTTTGGAATGTTACAAGAACTACCAAAATGTGACACAGAGACACAAAGTGAGCCCATGCTGTTGGAAGAATGGCAGCAATAGACTTGTTAGACACAGGGTGGTTGCCACAATCTTCAATTTAAAAAAAAAAAATAGTATCTATGAAGTACCGTAAAGGAATGTGCAATAAATCCATGTATCCAGAAAGGTATGGCAGTTACAAGGAATTATTCAAAAAACATTTGCATTTTTGAAACATATAAATAGCCTGAATCAACAATGATAATTTTAATGAAACAGCTTTTCAACTCACTTCTATAAATAGCACATGTCAGTAGATTAAAGTATTTTAGCATGTGAGGGTTTTTTAAAAAAAAATTTCCACAAAAATATTTCTCAGCACAAGCATCATTATATCAATTTATTTTGGCTTATGCACTTTTGGACTGTGCATTAAAAGTCAATAATTACAGAAGTCTCATGTTCTGATGGTTTGACAGGTGATAATAAAAATATATTCACTGCCTTCAAAGGAAGCCTCTAAACCAGGTCCTTTCTGAAAGTCTGTCCTATTTACCTTTAAAAAAAAACCCTGAAAATCATTGCTGCAAAAAAGTACATTGAAATTTTCTGAACCACAAATCAATATACAATGATATGATAAAATGGCAAACCATTTCTTTCCACACATTCTTATTCTTACAAGGAAACTCTTCTCACTGCACTTATTCTCTAGCTCTAGAAAATTGTCCACTCAACCAGATGGGGTACTATGTTTAATTTATGTCTAAATACCAGGGAGAAAATCACATTTTACTGGTCTTTATGGGAAATGTCAAATGAGCAGGAATCTAGGTACCTGAGTATTTCACTCTATGGGCACCACATTTTTTCTGTTGAGGACTTTCTTGACACTGAAACAGATAGGTGCAGAGTGAAATGGAACTTAGTTCCTTCTTATTTTACATTTTTTTTTTTTTACCAGAGAGAAATATTAAGAAGT